AACAAATCAGGGCAATAAGAAATGATATGTTTACTTCTGTTTGAATATGTATTTTCTATATTGTGAGTGCTTTGTGTCTCAAAGCAGGGTGGTAATGATCGTGATGACAATAATGATGATAATAGTGACAACAACAGTTGAATACTGGAAGGAAATGACACAAAAAGTCTCATTCGTTTTTTTTTTAAACTCGAAATCAATATTTGAGAATCATCCTTCTCATCTATAATCAACACCGACCAACATCAAAAGGTTTCCAAGGTTTTAGAGGGCACCATAGTTAAAGCAATGGTATTCCCTGTAGAAGAAGAGTGATGCTTTTGAACTGTGGTGTTGGAGGAAAATCCTGAGAGTGCCTTGGATTGCGAGAAGATCCAACCAGTCCATACTCCAGGAAATAAAGCCCGACTGCTCATTGGAGGGAAAGGATAGTAGAGGCAAAGATGAAGTACTTTGGCCACATCATGAGAAGACAGGAAAGCTTAGAGAAGACATGTTGGGGAAAAGGGAAGGAAAAAGGAAGAGGGGCCGACCAAGGGCAAGACAGATGGATGGTATCCTTGAAGTGACTGCCTTCACCTTGAAGGAGATAGGGGTGGCCATGGCCCACAGGGAGCTCTGGCCTGGGATGGTTCATGAGGTCACAAAGCATTGGAAGCAACTGAACAAATAAACAAGCACTCAAGGCTCCATAACTGTTGAATCCTGGGGTTTCTAGTTTTACAAGGTCTTTAGCCAAAGAGTGCTGCTGCTGGTGCCTCATCAAACTGCAACTCCCAAGAGTCCATAGCATGGAGCCATGGCAGTTCAAGCGGTGTCAAGTTGCATTGAATCTGCAGTGTCGAAGCACCCATAGACATGCAGTTGTCCACTTCTATCCTATATGGACCCAAAGCCAGAAGAGAAGCACAATTCTGAGCGTGTTGTCAAAGGCTTTCATGGCTGGAATCTCTGGGTTGCTGTGAGTTTTCTGAACCGTCTGACCATGTTCCAGAAGCATTCTCTCCTGATGTTTTACCCACATCTATGGCAGGCATCCTCTGAGGTTGTGAGGTCAGTTGTAAACTAGGCTATTCAAAATCGGGACAGTAAATAAAGAGCAACACTCAAAAAGCAGGGGGAATCCAGACAAGAAACAATCAGGGCCATCTAACACCATCCAACAAAGGATTCCCCCATGCAGGAAGCAGCTAGGCTTTGAAGTTGCAAGGCCACTTAATGTTAAGCAAGGTGGCCAATTGTAACATTCACAATTGCCTCAAGCAGACAAGAGTTGGGTTGTTGCAGGTTTTTTTGGGCTATATGGCCATGTTCTAGAGGCATTCTCTCCTGATGTTTTGCTTGCATCTATGGCAAGCTACCTCTGAGGATGCTTGCCACAGATGCAGGTGAAACGTCAGGAGAGAATGCCTCTAGAACATGGCCATATAGCCCCGAAAAACCTACAACAACCTAGTGATTCCGGCCATGAAAGCCTTCGACAATACATCAGACAAGAGTTCTTTCTCCCACCTTGGACATTATTCCACAGATATATAAACCTCACTTGCCTAGTTTCCAACAGACCTCACAACTTCTGAGAATGCCTGCCATAGATGTGGGTGAAATGTCAGGAGGGAATGCTTCTGGAACATGGCCAGACAACACGCTATACTCACATCAACACAGTTCTTGAGTGTCTGGGTGCCTTCAACTTACCTGTTGACTCATGTGGACACCATGCATTTATAGGGTGTATTTAGGCATTGAATACTCAGATAATTTTGCTACTGCCTTCCTCTGAAATATCACCTTGACGTCGATGGCAGTCTCCCATCCAAATACTCACCAGGGCCAACCCTGCTTAGCTTCCAAGGCCAGGTAGGATCCACTCCCTGTGGTGTATTTAGGCACATTAATACCTGCCTGGGATTATTCCTAAAAATGCCCAACACGTTTAGGAAAAATTGTCAGTGCCATCATTGGGGGCAGACAGTAGACACAGAAATCAAACACACTGGAAATAAGAGAGCTCTAGGAACATGCTCTCACAAGCGTTTCCCTCTCGCTCCTGCGTCCGCAAAACACACAAACATCCAGAAATCCAGAATTTCCTGTTTAGGAATGCTGACACCTCTCCGTTGGCAATCCCGTTGCATGAAGAGACCAAGTGGTCCTAGGTCGTGTTGCACTCCACGGCTGCATTGCGTTCCCTCTGGACCACAGTCGCAGAGATGGACATTCGGAGGCTGAGATGGAGCAAGTTCCAGTCCATTGGCCAGCCATGGGCAGAGGGCCATGCAAACCTTAATATTTACAACAGGCCCGGCCAAGCAGGACGCTTGGACCCACGGCCGGCTCACTGCGGAAAGGACACGGAGACACGTCTCCCACAAAATGGGAGCTCCCTTTGAGGTCTCTGCGGCTGGAGCCCCGGAGTCCCCAACGGACCTGCCCAGACTGATGTCCTCCAAATACGTATTTCAGAGGAACAACATATCATTGTCGAAGGGTTTCATGGCCGGAATCACTGGGTTGTTGTAGGTTTTTTCGGGCTATATGGCTATGTTCTAGAGGCATTCTCTCCTTAGGAGAGAATGCCTCTAGAACATGGCCATATAGCCCGAAAAAACCTACAACAACCCAACATATCGTTGTCTCTTCCTTACACCATAGAATCATAAAATCAGCAGTGGGTTAAACCCCTGTGCTGGCAGGACTGAAGACCGACAGGTCACAGGTTCGAATTCCAGGAGAACACAGATGAGTGTTGGGGTTCAGCCTGAGTTTGAACTTGAACCTGATTCTCTGTTTGTTCCTCCTGATGCTAATGAAAGTATATTTACTGATGCTAGTGGAAATGTACCTTTTGATGCCAATGCTCCTGAAATTAGTGAGGAAGAATCTGCTGTAGGTTTGGAAAATGCCAATGTTCCTGAAATTAGTGAGGAAGGAACTTCTGTAGATTTGGAAAATGAAAGTACCAGTGTTCATGAGAATGTTTCAGAGGGAGACCTTGAACTTTCCCTCCCTTCTGCACCTGTTAACTGTAATGACAACAGAAGGAGCCAAATTTGGGAAGACAGAAATAAAACACTGTTTGCGTCGATCCTCCCGAATTCAAGAATTAAAAACATTGGCTTCAAAACAGAAGGGCGGTTCACGGAACCGATTCTTGAGTTTTAATTGCAATACGCCGAGCTGATTGTCTCAGTTCAGGCATCGTTTCAGAATTGATGAAGACCTTGGCAGTTCTCCCGGTTCCCTGGCCATAGTTTGGGAAGATTTCTAGGATATCAAGTACGGTTAGTGGATTGCTAACAGATTCCAGTAATTTCCCAGTGAGGCTTTTGGTTTTGCTTTGTCCATTTAAATTCATGTTTGCTGATTTTGCTGTGGCTTTTGACTTGCATTTTTCCTTTATTTTGTAACCATTTTTCTTCAATAAAAAAGGATTGTTTTTCACAGCCAAGTGTTGTGGATAGTTATCTTAGGCCTCGTTCTCTGCTCTGGATTGCAACAATGAGCTCCCTCTATCAGCTCCAGCTCCTCATACGGGGACATGAGGGAAGCCTCCCACAAGGATGGTAAAAACATCAAAACATCCGGGTATCCCCTGGGCAACGTCTTTGCAGATGGCCAATTCTCTCACACCAGTGTTCGCTTTCTGGGCCTGCACGCCACATGCACGGTTAAGGCAAGAAGGCAGGTTTACTCCAGAGGAAACACTCAGCTGGAGGCAGGCATAGGCTTTCTTGGCCTGCACAACACACACACACTCTTTCCAAGGCGAGGAGCCGGGATCAGCTCATGCTTGCTTTTGTGTTGAGCTGATTTTCGTACCGGGAGTGGGCTTTTTGTTTTGTGCACCTGAAGGCATTGGAGGTGCCACAGGTACCAAAGGAAATTGGATCCACGCACTACCCTAATTTCAATACAATTAGAAAATCTTGTACTACAACTCCCATCCATGCTGACAGCATAGCTATGAATCAGGAAGATGGGCATTCTGTTTTGCAACATCTGGATATCTTTCAGGAGAAGGTTCCTCGATGATGACGATTTATACCTTGTTTTTTCTCCCCACAAAGCAGACTCATGGGTAATGTCTCAGGCCACATACTCAGTGTATTGTCGAAGGCTTTCATGGCCGGAATCACTGGGTTGTTGTAGGTTTTTAGGGCTGTATGGCCATGTTCCAGAAGCATTCTCTCCTGATGTTTCACCTGCATCTATGGCAGGCATCCCCAGAGGTTGTGAGGTCTCCCAACCTCACAACCTCTGAGGATGCCTGCCATAGATGCAGGTGAAACATCAGGAGAGAATGCTTCTGGAACATGGCCATACAGGCCAAAAAAACCTACAACAACTCACATACAGAGTGTTTGCATTCCAGGGTTAAGTACACAAAGTAGCACAGAGAATGACCCTTTAATCCAGTGCTTCTCAACCCGGGGTCCCCAGATGTTTTTGTCCTACAACTCCCAGAAATCCCAGCCAGTTTACCAGCTGTTAGGATTTCTGGGAGTTATAGGCCAAAAACATCTGGGGACCCCAGGTTGAGAACCACTGCTCTAATCAAACATAGTTAAAAACATTTCAATGCAATTAGAAGATCAAAAAATATATAAACATTAACACAGAATGAAGTATCAATTGTATTATTTAAAAATTAATAGTTTAAACTGAGTTCAAATGGATTCAAAAACCTTTACACTGTAAAAGTAATAAAGTGTGACCCCGCTTGAACTGCCAAGACTCAATGCTATGGAATTGTGGGCTGCAGTTTTACAATGTTTTTAGCCTTCTTTGCCAAAGACTGCAAACTACAACTCCCATTATTCCACAGCATGGCAGGTAGAGTGGATGCTGAACTGCATCAATTCTGCAGTGTGAATGCGCTTGTAGATTGGCAACTAGTCCATCCCTACCTGGAAATGTCATTCAATAGCACGAAGTAAACTCCAATATGGGGAGTAAAGACCATCTATTATCAAACACAAAGGATTTTTTGCAAACGGTCACCGGTTAAACCATTCTTGATTTAATACAAAGTGCAAAAAATACGAGGCTGTTAATGTATCGCACCGACTCACTGTACACAGACGATGTTGTTGTCATTAAAACAGGGATACAAATCTGCTCCCGTGGTAATAATAACTATTTTCTAGTTTCAATTCACTTCCTGAGTCTCTTTCTTGAAACATCGGAAAGAGTCGAGATTTTTTTGAAAGCTGCGCTGCCACCTAGTGGCCAGAAAAGAGTGGCCTGAAGGTAATTGACGTTGGACAAAGTCAAGTTTTGATTTCCTTAAACAAACTAACTCCAGGGAGAATCCAACAACCCATGAATCATTCGGTCTCCAGGAATAGCAATACCGATGTCCCTCTTCCGTTTAATTCAGCCATAGTTTGAATAAGCCAAATTTGGGTTTCTTTTTTTCACTTTCCGGGGTGTTGCGTGGTCCATCTTCAGTGGAAAGAAAAGAAGAGCAATTAATTTTCAAATATAATATTGTTTTAAATGGTTATCATCAATAATAAAAAGATTGGAGATCTAGTTCAGGCTACTGAGCTATATTATCATTCCATCTTCAAGAGATTGGACCACAGGTTGAAAAGTATATCGCCCACTGAAGGACCACAATTCCTAGCATTCTTCACCACTGGATATACAAAATAAGGCTTCTGGGAGGTACAGTTCAACTACGAGGGTTGAATGAAAAGTAATGCCTCCACCTTTGTTACTTGGGTTTGGATGGGAATATTTTAATAAATCAAATGCAGAAATAATCCTTAGAATGGAGAACAAGTCCTATGTGGAGCGGCTTAAGGAGCTGGGCATGTTTAGCCTGAAGAAGAGAAGGCTGAGAGGAGATATGATAGCCATGTATAAATATGTGAGAGGAAGCCACAGGGAGGAGGGAGCAAGCTTGTTTTCTGCTTCCCTGGAGACTGGGACGCAATGGAACAATGGCTTCAAACTACAAGAGAGGAGATTCCATCTGAACATGAGTAAGAACTTCCTGACTGTGAGAGCCGTTCAGCAGTGGAACTCTCTGCCCCGGAGTGTGGTGGAGGCTCCTTCTTTGGAAGCTTTTAAACAGAGGCTGGATGGCCATCTGTCAGGGTGCTTTGAATGCAATATTCCTGCTTCTTGGCAGGGGGTTGGACTGGATGGCCCATGAGGTCTCTTCCAACTATTTTATTCTATGATTCTATGTGCTCTTTAACTACCACTATTCACTTTTTCACATAATCACCAGACAATTGGATACATTTCTGCCAATGATGAACAAGTTTTCTGAAGCCATCCTGGAAGAAGTCGACACTGTTTCCGCGACCCATCATGCACAGATAGCCAAGCAAAGCAATAATGTGACCCACATGTTCTTGTGAAATGCCAATTATTCTTGAAATTTCTCTCTGAATGATACAACGATCATTGTTGTGGTTGAGTTGTTTTCTGATGATGAGGATGATGGGATTCAGATTCCTGCTGGGATTCAGCTTCCTGGCTCTCTGTCTGTGCCTCAAATCTCTGGGCCTGCTTCTGAGGTTCCCACAGACAGTGCAGTGTCAACACAGCCATTCCCAGCAGAAAGGAATTTTAACAAAGGAGATAGCGAGATAGCCTTCCCACGCTGATACCGAAAGTGTGGATAGTGACTTGACCCAGCAAGCTCGTCTTGATCTGCGAGACAGGCGGAGTTCTTGTCTGGCCAGCAGACGAGAAGCCAGCTTGGTGAAAGGTCATCGCAATGCTTTTATGATGATGAGAGCCTAATGTTTTCATGTTGGAAAGGTAGGCTTCTTGCAAACCCTGAGAAAGCGTCAGTTCAATGTAGCTTACTGGCCTGAAAGCTTCATGGAATAACCTTAGCCTGTAAAGCAGTACGCTTGGGATTTCTTGCATTGTGATTCTTGGGGCAATTGGCTCATTGCTTGTACCTGGGACTCTGGTTTGATCTTTGCCAATAGGATTGTGTCTCCTGCTTTTATCTGAAGATCTTTGGAACTATATTCTGCATTTAACTTTAATCTTTGGAACTTTGCAATGCTTATTCTTTATTTTGACTTGGATTTTTTCCTCAATAAACTATTAAACTACAGCTCTTTTGTGGCGGTGTTTGGAAGCAAGATGAAGCTTACTCTGAGTTGCAACAATCATGCTGAATCAAACTGTCAATGTTTTGCTTGTGAAACTTGGTGGTTGCTGTCACAGGATGTCCAACTCTTTGTTTGTCACACAAGTCAGATATTCCCACCTCAACATGTTTAGAGTTGCAACAATCATGCTGAATCAATCTGTTTTGCTTGTGAAACTCGGCAATTGCTGTCACAGGACGTCCAACTCTTTGTTTGCCACACAAGTCAGATGTTTACACCTCAACATCTTTAAGCTTTCCTGCCCAATGACACACAGTACTCACATCAAAACAATCACCATAAACAGCTTGCATTCTCTGACTAATCAACTTTGGGGTGACATCTTCTGCTGTCACGTTGCTTAAGTCACACTGACAGACCGTCTGAGCAGGGTCCCATACGTTGCACTTTAACAACACAACCATTCAATACTAAGGCTTCCTATCAAAATGGAACTGTAGAGGAGAGTCTACTGAACAAGCCAGTACCTGCTGTATACCAGTACTGCCATCTGTTGAGGAGTTACGAAGTGGAGGCATTACTTTTCATTCAACCCTCATACATCTGGAGGACTGCAGAATCCCATTTTTGGAAACTTTGGTGGTCCATGGAGGTGAAACTATGGATAACTGTACCAGGTGAAACCAACCCTGGGGATGCCACTGCAACATGGTAGTTGCATTCTGACAATATTGGGGGAGATGCCACATTCCAACCTTTTTTGACCAGGGACCACTTGACCAGGGTCCACTTAGACCAAGGACCACTCTCCAACATTAGTACCAAAAATATTGCTAATCAGTTTTTAGTCAACTGTTTGGTTTGTTTTTTTCAGATGCTGATTCTGAAAATTGCATTGGCTAGATCACATCAGCTCTAGTTTCTGATACAGAGCATATGCCATCCACTAGTCCCCATCTGCTTGCCCACAGAAAACCATATTTAATAATCTAGAGTGGATTGGCTGTAGTAATCTTTTGTGGCTAGTCAACCTCTCCCCTCCGGACATCCCCATTGCCTCAGCACTATAAGAAGGTTTTGAGAGACCAGTCGCTCTCATTGCAATGTCATTTTGAGGCAACGGTGTAGGATTGGTGAGGCTGCGGACCATAGTTTTGTTCTTGTAGACCACTGGAGGTCCCTGGACCACAGGTTGGGAACCACTGTTCTAAAGATTTCCAACAGGTTGTAAGGAGGACTTACCAAGCCTCTGGATCATGGCGGCCAAAACCTCATCTTCCTCCTGTTCCCTAAGGGGGAAAAAAAAAACATGGTCAGAAAGATTATTTGCAAGAGGGAGACCATGTGGTATAATGGCTTGAGCATTGGACTATGGACGCATCTACACTATAAAATTAATGCAACATCACTCCATGGCACAACCTGGGGATCACAACCAGATACAGTGAAGACATCTGCCCTTTCGCTATGCTACTCTGCTGCTGAGTATGCATGCCCAGTGTGGAACACATCTCACCATGCTAAAACAGTGGATGTGGCTCTTAATGAGACATGTTGCATTATCACGGGGTGTCTGCGCCCTACACCACTGGAGAAATTACACTGCTTAGCTGGTATTGCACCACCTGACATCTGCCGGGAAGTAGCAACCAATACTGAAAGGACCAAGGCAGAGACATCTCCAACCCATCCCTTGTTTGGGTATCAGCCAGCACGTCAATGACTTAAATCAAGAAATAGTTTTCTAAGATCTACAGAGACACTCGCTGGAACACCTCAGCAAGCGAGAGTCCAAAAGTGGCAGGCTCAAACCCAGAACCTCAATCAATGGCTGATACCCAATGAGAGACTCCCCCCTGGGCACACAGAAGACTGGGCGACTTGGAAGGTGCTGAACAGACTGCGCTCTGGCACCACGCATTATTTGCCAATACCTCACACAGTCCTAGACACTTAGAAAGTGTTCGATGTGTGATTCAATAGAACAGCCAGCAGAATGATCTTGTCTGCTATGGACTCATCTTGTTGTGTTTCAAGTAGTAGTAGTAGTAGTAGTAGTAGTAGTAGTAGTAGTAGTAATAATCTTGTTGTGTTTCAAGTACTACTACTAGTAGTAGTAGTAGTAGTAGTAATAATAATAATAGAGTTAGCATTGAGTTGCTGTGAGTTTTCCATGTTCCAGAAACAATCTCTCCTGACGTTTTGCCCACATCTATAGCAGGCATCCTCACAGGTTGAGAGAAACCTCATAACCTCTGAGGATGCCTGCCATAGATGTGGGTGAAACATCAGGAGAGAATGCTTCTGGAACATGGCCGTACAGCCCAGAAAATACACAGCAACTCAGTGATTCCAGGCATGAAAGCCTTCAACAACACATCAAAGTTAGCATTCTCTGCAAGAGTGGACTAGCACCCCAGCAAATTACAAATCCTAATTTTCCAGGGAATAGAACCATGGACTTAGAATTCTCTGCCACATTTGGTTACAGGGCAGTACATAAATATATATTGTGACATATACATTTTAAAAATTAAAATCCGAATGAACATAGTGGTCACTCATAGAGAAGGAAGAGTGAGGAGAGTGTAGAGTTCACTAGTGATCCATGAGCCCAGAAATGAAGGTCTTTTTCCTGCCAAGCCCCCACTCCTCTCCGTGTTCTTTTAACATGACATGTCATACAAAAATATAGGAGCCCCCGATAGCGCAGTGGGTTAAACCCCTGTGCTGGCAGGACTGGAGACCAACAGGTCGCAGGTTCGAATCAGGGGAGAGCGCGGATGAGCTCCCTCTATCAGCTCCAGCTCCCCATGCAGGAACATGAGAGAAGCCTCCCCCAAGGATAGTAACACATCAAAACATCCGGGCGTCCCCTGGGCAACGTCCTTCCAGACGGCCAGTTCTCTCACACCAGAAGCAACTTGCAGTTTCTCAAGTCACTCCTGACACGAAAAAAATAGAAAAATATATTAAAAGGTTTTTTTGTTTTGCATGTGAATGCAGCAAGAAATCCGTGAAAAAAATCCAAAGCATAATTATGACCTTCATAGGTAAGTCAATATTTTTGCATGAAAAAAAAAAACACCAAAAACTTTATTTATCATGTCAGGTGCACACCAAACAGTTGTATTGCATTTTTAACAAACAAACAAACAAACAAACAAACAAACAAAACACAAAGTTTGCAAGCTTGGTAGTTGATTAAATGTCCTTTGACCAGTATCTGGCCACTTGGGAGTGCTTCTGGTGCTGCTGCAAGAAGGTCCTCCCTTGTGCATTTGGCAGGGCTCAGGTTGCATTGCAGCAGGTGGTCAGTGGTTTGCTCTTCTCCACACTCACATGTCATGGATTCCACTTTGTGGCCCCATTTCTTGAGGTTGGCTTAAGGTTGGATCATTTCTTAACAGAAATGATCCTCCACAAGAAAATGAACATCAATCAACATATTATTCTTGCAGACTCTCACCAAAGATACACCACAAAGTGAGACACTTAAGTGATCCTGAATTGGATGCAGATGACTCAAATCAATTGGTTCTTGTTCTCTCTTTCATTCATGCCATATCCATTGGAAGCTTGTTTAGACCAAGTTCATGGTCTTGGCTTCCACCAGGTTTTTTGTTGTTGTTGTTTCAGGAGAGACCTGAGAAACTGCAAGTAGCTTCTGGTGTGAGAGAATTGGTCGTCAGGAAGGACATTGCCCAGGGAACGCCTGGATGCATTACCATCCTGTGGGATGCTTCTCTCATGTCCCTGTATGGGAAGCTGGAGCTGACAGATGGGAGCTCACCCCGCTCCCTGTATCATATTCAAACTGCCTTTTCAGTCAGCAGTTCAGCCGGCACAAGGCTTTAACCCATTGCAACTCCAGGTGAATAGGAAGGAGTTTGCTTTTTGCATAATAAGAATTATAAATGTCATCCAGGGGAAGGGAGGCATTAGAATTTTAGAGAGGTTTATTGGAGCCGAGAGAAAAAAAAAGTTGAGAACCACTGCACTAACCTGAGCCGGTCCTCATCCAGGTCCTCCACAATCTTGTTCCGGTCGTTGACAGTCTCCACGTACAACCTGAGCAGCTCTTCTTCACGCTTTCTCTCCTTGGAGGTCTTTACGAAATCTGCAAAAAAAGGGGGAAATTGAGTTTATATATCTGTGGAATGTCCAGGGTGAGAGAAAGAACTCTTGTCTGTTGGAGGTAGATGTGAAAGTTTCAATTGGCCACTTTGATTAGCATTTAATGGCCTGACAGTTTCAAGGTATGGCTTCTTACTGCCTGAGGGAGCTGATTTTTCTCACACCATGGACTTTACACAGATATATAAAAGCAATTGTTCTAGTTTCCAACAGGCCTCAGAACCTCTAAGGATGCCTGCCATAGATGCAGGCGAAAAGTCAGGAGAGCATGCTTCTGAAATGTGGCCATACAGCCTGCAAAACTCACAACAATCCAGTGATTCTAGCTATGAAATCCTTCAACAAGGCAGTGGTTGTATTGGCAAGTCTAAAGTTTAAGCTGGGGGCTGGGGAAAAGACCTTGGTGGGCCAGGTTTGGGCCGCGGGCCATAGTTTGAGAGCTTCTGCTATGGAGCTTAGTCATGTCATTCAAATATTGGTTGTTAACTCTTAGGGATATGCATCCACATTAGAGGACAATGAGGACTCGGTTTTTCGGTCAAAGTAATGAACATGAGTGCATAATAGTCCTCTAAAGAAAGGTCTCCAAATGAAGATGAGGAAATTCTTCATCATAAAACCATAGTGGACATTTAGAAAAATATTCTCAAGGTGAAGGACCCACCAGACTTGCTCATGAGGGTCCTCAGCTCCGTCTCTATGTCCCACTGCTTCTCCTCCAGCTTCTGTTGATTCATCCTAGAAAAGAGGAGAAAGAAAGTGGGCCAGTAAGTCTCGATTCAGACCCAGAACACACATTTGTCATACGATGATGGAGGAGATTCCATCTGAACATGAGGAAGAACTTCCTGACTGTGAGAGCCATTCAGCAGTGGAACTCTCTGCCCCGGAGTGTGGTGGTGGCTCCTTCTTTGGAAGCTTTTAAACAGAGGCTGGATGGCCATCTGTCAGGGGTGCTTTGAATGCAATATTTGAATGCTTCTTGGCAGGGGGTTGGACTGGATGGCCCATGAGGTCTCCTCCAACTCTTTGATTCTATGATTCTATGACTATTAGAAGAGGCGATCATCCTGGAAATATTGCAACTGGAGAACAAGCCCTATGAGGAGTGGCTTAAAGAGCTGGGCATGTTTCGCCTGCAGAAAAGAAGGCTGAGAGGAGATATGACGAGGGCCATGTATAAGTATGTGAGAGGAATTCATAGGGAGGAGGGAGCAAGCTTGTTTTCTGCTGCCTTGGAGACCAGGATGCAGAACAATGGCTTCAAACTGCAAGAAAGGAGATTCCACCTGAAAATGAGGAAGAACTTCGTGACTGTTCAGCAGTGGAACTCTCTGCCCTAGAGTGTGGTGGAGGCTCCTTCTTTGGAGGCTTTTAAGCAGAGGCTGGATGGCCATCTGTTGGGGGTGCTTTGATTGCAATTTTCCTAACTTCCTGGCAGAATGGGGTTGGACTGGATGGCCCATGAGGTCTCTTCCAACTCTATGATTCAATCATTCTAGATCCATTGGTGTTGATTCAGATTGTTGGTTCAATGCAACAGACCCACTAGATTTCTATCTCTAACTAATTTCACTCACTTGTGCATCAGCTCCGACTCCCGTCTCAGCAAGAGCTGCTTCTCATGGATCAGTTTAAACCATTCCACCATCAGCGCATCCTCCCTTTCGTCTGGAAGGAAAGAGCGAGAGAAAGTGAGGCTAATGGCTGTAAATGGTCCCCAGATCCCACCGTGGATGCCAAAGTTCCCCAAAAATCTCCTTGGATGGACTGTGGCACAGCTGGTTGGGAGTCAGCTGTATTAAGATCACTACTGACCAAAAAGTCATGAGTTTGAAGCTAGCCCGGGTCGGGGTGGGCTTCCGACTATTGTGTAGCTCGCTGTTGACCTTTGCAGCCCGAAAGACAGTTGCATCTGTCAAGTAGGAAATTTAGGTACCGCTTATGTGGGGAGGCTAATTTAACTAATTTACGACGCCATAAAAATCTCCAGCAAGCATGCAAAGAATGAGAAAGTACTCCATCAGTGTCACAAAATTTAGGTACCACTTATGTGAGGAGGCTAATTTAACTAATTTATAATGCCATAAAAATCTCCAGCAAGCATGTAAAGAATGAGGAAGTACTCCATCAGTGTCACAAATGGATGGTGAAGCGACAGCTCCCCTGGTGTCCAGAATACCCTCATGAAGCTGGAATGTTAAATAGCCTCTGACTGTCTATATATGTTGTGTGTCTATGACATTGAATGTTTGCCATGTATATGTACATTGTAATCCTCCCTGAGTCCCCTGCGGGGTGAGAAAGGCGGAATATAAATACTGTAAATAAATAAATAAATAAATAAATTGTAACAATAAAAATAATTTTAAAAATTAATGTAGCATCCAGCTTTGTCAGTAAACTACTAAATGCAAAACACCATAGGACCATAATCAATAAGCTCCTCCCAGTTGCCTATCAATAGTCAACGTCATGTTCGCTAAATTCAAATTAAGTACCTTTAAACCTCATTGCTATATACATGTAAATTGAATAATAATTATCCAAGACAATGGAGGGGGCCTGATTTGTTGATAGTGGGTTCAATATTATGGAAAGAACGGTCATCACCTCCCTCGCAGCCCCGCAGCTGCTTCTCCAGGTCTACTCCTTGGAGCTCCAGCCGGTCCAGTTGCTTCTCAATCTGCCGGACCTCCGTCTGGATCTTTTCCTCCGGAATGTAGTCTGGATGGCGCTAAAAGGAAAAGGTAGACAATAAACCCTGGAGGTTGAGAAGGGCATGGTACAAATGTTTGAAATATAAAAGCATTGGTAGGTCTACTCCAATGAATTCTAATAGTAGCAGTAGAAACAGTAATACATACAGTACACATAGTGCTAAAACTCCTACTATATATATATTATATATATATTATAATACTAACTACTAGTGATACTATTGGAAGTAATACATACTGTACACATACTGCTAAAACTCCTACTTTTACTATTTCCAGTTATACTAATAATGCTAGTAATGCTCCTAGTATTATTATTTCCAACTGTACCAATAGTGCAAGAAGTATTAATTTTATTGCCGGTAGTACCAATACTGTTAGTAGTGCTAGTAATGCTAGTAATACTACTGTTGTCAGTAGTAGTAATAGTAGAAGTCGTATCAGTACCACTACTAATACTATTTCTAGTACACTCAAAGTATAAGTAGTGCTAATAATATTACTATTACTAGAAGTACTAATAGTAGTAGTATTAATATCACTAGTAATTGTGTAAGTCGTGCCATGTAGTAGCTAGTAATACCAAGTAATGGCTAGTAATACCATTTCCAATAATTGTTACAGAGCTTGTTACTATTTCCACTCATACTAATAGTGCAACTAGTATTAATACTACTAGTAATATTAATGATGCAACGAGCATTAATGTCGCTATTAATATAATCGTTACAGAGCTAGTTACTATTTCCACTCATACTAATAGTGCAACTAGTATTAATACTACTAGTAATATTAATGATGCAACGAGCATTACTGTCACTAATACTAATAGTTATAGAGCTAATTACTATTTCCACTCATACTAATAGTGCAACTAGTATTAATACTACTAGTAATATTAATGATGCAACGAGCATTACTGTCACTAATACTAATAGTTATAGAGCTAGTTACTATTTCCACTCATACTAATAGTGCAACTAGTATTAATACTATTTTTTATTTATTTTATTTTGGTACACTTGTATACCGCCAACTTCTCAGCCTGGACGGCGACTCAGTTGCGGTTTACAACATTTTAAAAACAATCTCCAGTTTAAAAACATATAAAAATATAAAAATCAATTACAGTACAACAGCAAATTATTGGGCCACCAATAATAATCTCGTATAGCTCAGTTGAAGTCACATTCCAAAATTCGCAGTCCATATTCCTGTCCATAGTCACAAGGTTCGACTTGATTGTTACAAATTAGCCGAAGGCTTGTTTAAATAGCCACGTTTTGAGTCTTTTTCTGAACACTATCAGCGACGAGGCTGAACGTACCTCTGTAGGGAGGGCATTCCAAAGCCGAGGGGCCACCACAGAGAAGGCCCTATCTCTCGTTCCCGCCAACCGCACTTCTGAAGCTGGAGGGATAGAGAGAAGGGACTCTCCGGAAGATCTTAGGGTCCTGGTGGGCTGATAGGCAGAGATACGTTCGGATAGATAAGTTGGGCCAGAACCGTTTAGGGCTTTAAAGGCCAACGCCAGCACTTTGAATTGAGCCCGGTAGCATATCGGCAGCCAGTGGAGCTGGTTCAGCAAGGGAGTTGTATGCTCCCTGCGATCAGCTCCTGTTAGAAGCATGGCTGCCGCCCGTTGGACTAACTGGAGCTTCCGGACTGTCTTCAAAGGCAACCCCACGTAGAGAGCGTTGCAGTAATCAAGACGGGATGTAACCAGAGCGTGGACCACCGTGGCTAAGTCAGGCTTCCCAAGGTACGGTCGCAGTTGGCGCACAAGTTTTAATTGTGCGAAGGCTCCCCTGGTCACCGCCGAAACCTGGGGTTCCAGGCTCAGCGATGAGTCCAGGATCACCCCCAAACTGCGAACCTGTGTCTTCAGGGGGAGTGCGACCCCATCCAACACAGGCTGTAATCCCGTACCCTGATCAACCTTGCGACTAACCAGGAGTACCTCTGTCTTGTCTGGATTCAATTTCAATTTGTTCGCCCCCATCCAGACCGTCACAGCGGCCAAGCACCGGTTCAGGACTTCGACAGCCTCCTTAGTAGCAGGTGGAAAGGAGTGACAGAGTTGGACATCATCTGCGTACAGATGACACCGCACTCCGAAACTCCGGATGACCTCGCCCAACGGCTTCATGTAGATGTTAAACAACATGGGGGAGAGTATTGAACCCTGAGGAACCCCACAAGACAAAGGTTGTGGGGTTGAACAGGAGTCTCCCAGTAACACCTTCTGAGACCGACCCTCGAGGAATGAGCGGAGCCACTGCAGAACAGTACCTCCAAGACCATCCCCGCGAGGCGTCCCAGAAGGATACCGTGGTCGACGGTATCGAAGGCCGCTGAGAGGTCGAGCAGCACCAACAGGGACACACTCCCCCTGTCGAGCTCCCGACGCAGATCATCCACTAAGGCGACCAAGGCTGTCTCGGTACCATGCCCCGGCCTAAAGCCAGACTGTGTCCGGATCTAGATAATCCGTGTCTACCAAGAATGCCTGGAGTTGTGAGGCCACCACACGTTCCATGACTTTGCCCAAAAAGGGGAGATTGGAAACAGGCCGATAGTTGACGAATTGAGTGGGGTCCAGTGATGGCTTCTTCAACAGCGGTTTTATTACAGCTTGCTTTAAGCTGGCTGGAATTTTGCCTTCCCGAAGGGAGGCATTCACCACCACCTTCACCCACTCGGCCAAACCCCCTCTGGCCTCCTTTAGAAGCCAGGATGGGCAGGGGTCTAGGATGCATGTGGTAGCTCTCATTCCTCCAAGCACCTTGTCCACATCCTCGGATTGAACCAATTGAAATGAATCCATCAAAACCGGACAAGCAGATGCTCGAGGTTACATCCTCAGATACTGCCGTTAATATGGTATCCAGTCCAGAGCGGATCAAAGCGACTTTGTCTGCGAAGAACCGAGCAAAAGCTTCGCAGCGAGCTGCCGAGTCATCAGGGCACCCATCCTGAGTGGTGGGTTTTAATAGGCCTCTGACAACTCGGAACAGTTCAGCCGGACGGTTCTTCGCAGACGCAATAGTGGCCGCAAAGAAGGTTTTCTTTGCGGCCTTTATTGCCGCGGCATATGCCCTTAAAAAGGACACAAACCGTGTTCGGTTTGGCTCGCTCGGATCCGAACGCCACACGCTCTCTAGTCCCCTCTTCTTTCGCTTCAACGCTGCCAGCTCCTCAGTAAACCAAGGAGCTGGTTTAGCTCGGCTACTTGAGAGGGGACGTTCTGGAGCGATCGTGTCTATTGCCCTAGTCATCTCCCCATTCCAGAGAGCGACCAGGGCATCGACAGGATCACCAACCAAGGTGGCGGGAAATTCCCCAAGAGCCATCAGGAATCCATCCGGATCCATAAGCCTCCTGGGGCGGACCAACTTAATAGGTCCTCCACCTCTGCGGAGGTTAGGGGCTGCAGCGAGTCTAAAGCTGACCAAGTGGTGGTCGGTCCATGGCAACGGAGAGATGGATAACTCCTCAACACCGCCATCTTCCTCCCATCCCTGACAGAAAACCAAGTCCAATGTATGTCCAGCACTGTGGGTGGGGCCAGATACTTGTTGGGACAGCCCCAGGGTCGCCATGGTAGACATGAAGTCCTGAGCCGCTCCTGTCAGGGTAGCCTCAGCGTGGACATTGAAGTCCCCCAGCACAAGCAGCCGTTGGGACTCCAATGCCAGGTCCGAGACCACCCCAGCTAGCTCAGGTAGGGAGACTGTAGTGCAGCGAGGTGGACGGTACACTAACAGAATCCCTAATCTGTCCCGGTCACCCACCCTCAGGTGGACGCATTCAAAATTTGTTGACTGCGGGATGGGGGCCCTGGTCAGAAGAATGGAATCTCTATAGACCACTGCAACCCCGCCTCCCCGCCCTCCGGATCTCGGTTGGTGCTGCACAGAGAACCCTGGTGGACAAAGCTGGGTCAAATTTACGCCTCCCGCTTCGTCCAACCAGGTCTCTGTGATGCACGCCAGATCTGCCCGTTCATCCAGGATCAAATCCTGGATGAAAGTTGTTTTACCATTGACAGATCTGGCGTTCAACAGCACCACTTTCAATCCGGGGGGACCGCCATCATGGTTACACCGACTTACCGTATCAGGAGACCGCTTTGGAATTACTAATGTTGTTCCACGTTCCCTAGGCCGAATTAAAGGTCTCCCTTTCCCGTATCTCCCCCTCCCCACCACGACTTCTATGGGGGCTCCCCGGTTAACGGAAGCCTCTCCCTCCTCCATGACGCCTTCAACATCCATAATGGCAATCCATAATCCATTATTGACAGCTTGATATGTTGCTATTTCAGTTTGCCATGATTTCGCCTTCCAATTATCTCCCCTTCCTATAATGTTATAATCGGGTCCCTCTGGGCTGTTCCGTTCTATTTCTCCACTACAGCCAATTAGCAGCCCAATTAATAGTTGCCAATAGATGGAGAAGGACATGAATGAACTGTAACACAATCAAGGGGTTCGTTGAGGCTCTTAAAGTGCAGATGGATATGATGACGATATATACGTACGCAGCAATCGCAATGAAATAAACACTTAAACAATTAAAGTGCAACAGCTTATCAGATCGATCTATACTATCAGCGGTAGTGCGTCATGGAGGACTTAGACTAAATCGACTAAGTGCTAACTAGTCGATCGACTAAGTGCTAACTATTACTACTAGTAATATTAATGATGCAATGTGCATTAATGTCACTATTAATACTAATAGTTATAGAACTAGTTACTATTTCCACTCATACTAATAGTGCAAGTAGTATTAATACTACTAGTAATATTAATGATACAACGAGCATTAATGTCACTATTAATATTAATAGTTATAGAACTAGTTACTATTTCCACTCATACTAATAGTGCAACTAGTATTAATACTACTAGTAATAATAATGATGCAATGTGCATTAATGTCACTATTAATACTAATAGTTATAGAGCTAGTTACTATTTTCATTCATACTAATAGTGCAACTAGTATTAATACTACTAGTAATATTATTGGTGTGCTTTAGTGTCACCATGAGTTGGACACAATAACAATAGCAACAAACCTTTGATGGAGACACCACTTGTTTGTTTGGATGCTTCTGGGAGATTTTGGGAGAGGAGGGTCTGACTAGGAAGAAAAGAAGGTGAAAAATCACTTAAGACTATTGATGCCAGTCTTATTCTTGCCCTTTTGGTGGATTAGGATCACAAACTGGAGAAAGCCTTACAGAGAAATGGCATGGTCTTTTTGGTCATGTCCCCATGATTGTGATATTTCTTCTTTATTTAGAAATGCCCAGCCTTTGGGAAAGTTCTTTCAGGACTACTTTTTTCAATTATCCCCAAACAGACATGCCCAAGGTAACTGGGAGAGTACGGAAGCCAAAATAAAGCCATTTCCCATCCTATGGACACAGGAGATTATCCAAAATGGAGAGGGAATGCAGACCATGTGATCAGATCTGGGCTTGTTCAGGACTCAGGCTCCATTTTGGGACAACTAAAAGAACACTTCTGAAATTCTGCGCTCTCTCTCTCTCTCTCTCTCTCTCTATATATATATATATATATAGAGAGAGAGAGAGAGAGAGAGAGAGGACAGTGTTTCTCAACCTTCCTAATGCTGCAACCCCTTAATATAGCCCCGCATGTTGTGGTGACTCCCAACCATAACATTATTTCCGTTGATACTTCATAACTGTTATTTTTCCCCTGTTATGAATCATCATGTAAATATCTGATATGCAGGATGTGTTTTCTTTCACTGGACCAAATTTGAATACTGGTGGGGTTGGAGGGGATTGAATTTGTCATTTGGGAGTTGTAGTTGCTGGGATTTACAGTTCACCTACAATCAATGAGCATTCTGAACTCCACCAATGATGGAACTGAACCAAACTTGGCACACAGAACTCCCATGACCAACAGAAAATACTAGAAGGGTTTGGTGAGCATTGACCTTTAGTTTTGGAGTTGTAGTTCACCTACATCCAGAGAGCACTTTGGACTCAAACAATGATGGGTCTAGACCAAACTTGGCACACAGAACTCCCATGACCAACAGAAAATACTGGAAGGGTTTGGTGGGCATTGACCTTGAGTTTTGGAGAAGTAGTTCACCTACATTCAGAGAGCACTGTGGACACAAACAAAAATGGATCTGGACCAAGCTTGACCAATACTCAATTAGGCCCAAATGTGAGTTTGGGGGAAATAGACCTTGACATTGTAGTTGCTGTGATTCATAGTTGTAGTTGCTGTGATTCATAGTTCACCTACAATCAAAGAGCATTCTGAACCCCACCAACGACAGAATTGGGCCAAACTTCCCACACAGAACCTCCATCACCAACAGAAAATACTGTGTTTTCTGATGGTTTTGGAGACCCCTCTGATACCCCTTCGCCACTCGACCCCCAGGTTGAAAAATGCAGATATACGGTATGTGTTTTTGTGCATTGTCCCTAATAGTTCAAAGACATACCTAGGTACATCCATTTAACAGCTGAGAAACCTAATTGCCTTGCATGAATGCCATTTTCCCAAAAGGTTATGAATTCTAATAAGGTCATACCTTTCCAAAGATCATAAAATCTCCAAAAGGTTATGGAGATTTTCCATTTTCCAAAAGTCCCCGGATTCTGAAGCATTGAGTCATGGCAGTTCAAGTGGTGCTAAACTGAATTAATTCTATAGTGGAGATGACACCCTTTATGGTACCGTCAAGGGGGAAATTCAACCAAATTGGGGGATTTGGGTTTTAGGGTTTAAATTGCAATTTGTTCTGTTTTTAGTCTTGTGAGCTTTGAGTCTCATTTAAGAGAAGCAAATTGGATTATGATGATGGTGATTATTATTATTATTATTATTATTATTATTCAGGTCTCCCAGGTTCAATGGAGCTCTGTAAGTCCCTGACAGTTTTCCGCTTCTCCATTGCTTTCTCTTTCATATTGCATTTGTAAATGCTAAAGATCCTTTCTAAATGCATTTAAATAGACTGAAATATACCAAAGCTTACCGGGTGCAACTGCAACTTTGGGGGGACCTGGTACCTCCAGCTTTTGGTTTGTTTGGGGACCATCCCAGGGTTGCTTGGTTTTCTGCCACCCGCTGGAAAGATCCACTTGAGGCACCAAGAGTTTCTTCTTTGGAAGAGAATTGGGCGAGGGCGCTGTCATGAAAAAACATGAAAATATTAGGACAATACAGTGGAGTATGCTGCCTCGGTGCATCGTGGAGTCTCCTCTGGGGGTGTTAAAGCAGAGGCTAGATGGCCATCTGTCAGGAGGGATTGGATGGTGCATAGTAGGAGGTTGGACTTTTTAAATTAATTTCACCCTGCTATCCATACCAGTCTCCTGAATGGCTGATGGGATCACTGGCTTCTGGTCCTCTGGCATGGGTCTCACGGAGACGCTGACCACCGTTTTGTGGATTTCTGCAGGTTTAGGGACCGGCCTGGCATCACGACGGTCTGAGATCCTACAGGTAGGGAGACATAGTCGATCGACACTACTGAGATAGCAACCTCCTTCCCACCTGCTACTAAGGAGGCTGTCCAAGTCCTGAACCGGTGCTTGGCCGCTGTAATGGACTGGATGAGGGACAACAGATTGAAACTAAATCCAGACAAGACAGAGGTATTCCTGGTCAGTCAAAAGGCCGAACAGGGCATAGAGTTACAGCCTGTGTTGGACGGGGTTACACTCCCCCTGAAAGCGCAAGTTCGCAGCTTGGAAGTGATCCTGGACTCATCGCTGAGCCTGGAACCCCAAATCTCGGCGGTGGTCAGGGGAGCTTTTGCACAATTAAAACTTGTGCGCCAGCTGCGCCCGTACCTTGGGAAGTCTGACATGGCCATGGTGGTCCTCACTCTGGTTACATCCCATATAGACTACTGCAACGCTCTCTACGTGGGGTTGCCTCTGAAGACTGCCCGGAAGCTACAATTAGTCCAACGAACGGCAGCCAGATTACTAACAGGAGCGGGGTACAGGGAGCATACTACTCCTCTGTTGTGCCAGCTCCACTGGCTGCCAATTAGCTTCCGAGCACAATTCAAAGTGCTGGTGTTGACCTATAAATCCCTAAACGGCTCCTGCCCAGTTTACCTGTCTGAACGGATTCTCCCCTACGAACCATCAAGTTTGTTAAGATCTTCTGGAGGGGCCCTGCTCTCGGTCCCACCACCTTCGCAATCGCGTCTGGTGGGGGCGAGGGACAGGGCCTTCTCGGTGGTGGCCCCTCGACTCTGGAACTCTCTCCCGATGGAGATTAGATCTGCCCCTTCCCTCCTGACTTTCAGAAAGCTGGAAAAATCTTGGCTCTGGGATATAGCATTCTCAGAATGATGATCGAGACAAAAACAGCTGACCACACTGGCGGATGGTGATGAATTTGTGATTTGACGATTTGGCTGTATGTAATTATTTGATCTGTATTGTAATGTATTTTAATGTATTAATGTATTATGATGTTACTATGTTTTAGCTTATTTGTGTATGAATTTTCTGTTGTTAGCTGGCCTGAGTTCCTCTTCGGAGGTTGAGAAGACCGGGTTATAAAAACTCTAAATAAATAAATAAATAAATAAATTTGTATTGCAATTGCTTTCTCATTTTCTCCACTTACTCGTTGGAGGACAGTAGACCACCTACTACAATGCAGCCTGAGCCCTGCCACGTGCACAATGGAGGACCTCCTTATAGCAACACCAGAGGCACTCCAAGTGGCCAGCAGCTAGTCAAAGGATATTTAATATAATTGCCAAGTTTTAAAACTTTGTGTTTTTTAAAATACATTACAACTGCACCGTTGGTTCACTCCTGATATGATAAATAAATAGTAGATATGTAACTAAACCCTAGCAACTAGAAAATAAGAAAAGACTTACTCTGCCCAATAAAAGTTCTTGAGCAGCTCAACTCACTTGTTGGCCACCGGTTTCAATCTCGACCTCCACTCTGCAGGGCTCTCCGATTTCTCTTCCGCAGCAGTGATTCCTCCCACTAGAGACAGGAAACATAAAGGTTCTGGATGGCTCATGGGTGGCATAAGTAGAACCAAATTCACACATTAAATATGCAAAATCCATGCAAAAATGCAAATGCAGCTAATTTGCATAACACATGCTAGAATTCAGGCACTGGATGGAGAATCTTGGGGAAGCTTTCCGGGTTCATTTCTGGAAGTTGTATTTATTTATTATTATTTATTTAGAACTTTTATATACCGGTCTTCTCACCTCCGACGAGGGACTCAGGCCAGTTTACAACAGAGAGGTTCATACACAATAGTTAAAACATCACATCCTATAAAACTCTATAAAAACACATTAAAATACAATCATATATTACATAAGGCCAAGTCGTCAGAATAAAATCATAATTCATCACCATCCGTCCGTGTGGTCAAAAGTTATTGACTCACTCATCAAATGCCAGGTTCCAGAGCCAGGTTTTCACCAACTTTCTAAAGGTCAGGAGGGAAGGGGCAGTACTAATCTCCAGTGGGAGAGAGTTCCAGAGCCGAGGGGCCACCATGGAGAAGGCCCTGTCCCTCGTCCCCACCAGACGCGATTGCAAGGGTGGTGGGACCGAGAGCAGGGCCCCTCCAGAAGATCTTAACAACCTTGATGGTTCATAGGGGAGAATCCATTCGGACAGGTAAACTGGGCCGGAGTCGTTTAGGGATTTATAGGTCAACACCAGCACTTTGAATTGTGCTCGGAAGCTAATTGTCAGCCAGTGGAGCTGGCACAGCAGAGGAGTAGTATGCTCCCTGTACCCCGCTCCTGTTAGTAATCTGGCTGCCGCTCGTTGGACTAATTGCAGCTTCCGGGCAGTCTTCAGAGGCAACCCCACATAGAGAGCGTTGCAATAGTCTATACGGGATGTAACCAGAGCGTGGACCACGGAGATCAAGTCAGACTTCCCAAGGTACGGACGCAGCTGGTGCACAAGTTTCGATTGTGCAAAAGTTCTCTTGGCCACCGCCGAGACCTGGGGTTCCAGGCTCAGTGATGAGTTCAGGATCACTCCCAAGCTGAGAACCTGCGCCTTCAGTTCCACATACAGGCATTCCATTCCAAAATATACCCATAATGTCTTAACTTTAGCAGCCTTAATGGCAATGACATTGACTATGTATTACCTTTAGTAGCCTTAAAGTCTGCTTTGTGTCCAGAGTCGGCTTTGGGTCCATTGTACTGAACCTTGAAGCTGTTCTGGGTGGCTGACCCGATCTCCGCTCGGTTTCCAGGGTTTCTGGCTGAAGAATTGGACACAGGTGAAGTTCCCAAAGGATCCCTCTGTGGCTTCTCTGTGGCTGAGAGCCGACCCACAGGCTTTGAGATTTCACTAGTTGGGACGTTCTTGGTCTCAAGATGCTGCAAAAGCGGAGGTGCTTTGCCACTGCAGACAGAAAAAAGAGATGAGTACCGATGTCAAAGCTTTCCTTAGTTCTTCCAGATTTCCAAGCCAACAGCAATGGATGGAAAAGACGTTAGCAGTCTTTGGATGTCTCCATTAAACTATCCATGTACAAGTTGGGCATCCCTTATCCGAAATGCTTGGGCCCAAGGTTGCTTTGGATTTGTTCCAGATTTTGGAATACCTGCATTTGCCTAGACACACCTTTAGACCCAGTTTGGATTGGAGGAGGTCAGAGCCCTTTTGTGTTTCAGTCTGTTAGAGTTTTAGCATTGTGTATTCATTTTAATTCTGTCTGGATAGTTCTATTTACTTATTTATTTACAGTACTTATATTCCACCCTTCTTACCCTGAAGAGTCCCCTTCAGGGTGGATCACAGAACACATATACGGCAGACATTTAATGCCAATTATACAATGACAAGAAAAAACAAGAGATAGAGGTATACTTAGGCTTTTTCTCATCATTCAGCATCTTTTGGAGGTTGTGCTCAGTTCTGGCCACAGAGAGGTGCTGTTGCTCCATCTCCTTGCTAAAGAGCTTTCTTTGTTTGTAAACTTGCCTCCGAAACATGTGCCTAAAATACCTCCCTGCTTAAAACATTGCTGTTTTCGATCCGCTAAGTGGGTGGAGGAGCTGGTCTGAAGGTCAGGAGCTCACCCTGACCCAGCTTTGAACTGTCAACCTTTTGATTGGCAAGATTTACCAGCTGCAGCTGGTCATTAAGCTGGCCCATGATTAACCATGACTGAGTGTGGATTTGAATCTTGGTCTCCAGAATCCTTGTGTGATATTCAAACCACTATAACATACTAGCTTATTACAGCATACTTCAGCCTGCCCATTGTGTTCAATTTTATATTATGTTTATTTGCTTTATTTATTTTATTGTTATTGTATGTATTTTATTCTGATTTAATTTTGTTGTCTATATTTTGTATTTTATTCAATTGTATTGCATCTTTAGGCTTGGCCTAATGTTAGCCGCCCCGAGTCCCCTTCGGGGAGATGGTGACAGGGTATAAATAAAGATGATGATGATGATGATGATGATGATGATAATAATAATAATTATTATTATTATTATTATTATTGTGGATGCACCATAAGTGCCAGATCTTGGAAGCTTGTCAGGTTTTACAATGTATTGTAATGTAATATATAGCTGAGTCATGCACTGCTAATGGGCTTCTATTGGAAATGCTGAGTCATGCATTAACTATGTATAGAACTTCATTTGGGAAATGTGTTCTGGCCTAGTCCAGGTGATTGTGAATGATGTAATCCTGGGTCTGAGTTAAGTTAATGGGTTGGGAACCAATCAGAGATTGCCCTGTGTGATTGTATAGAATTGTATATAAGGAAGTCATATACAGTGTATATCTCTCGTTCTTCTTCGCCGAAGGCTATATGTAATTAAAAGAACCTGTCTGCTAAGACAAGATATAACTGTATGCTGTGGTAAGTTTGTAATATCATCTAGACTTGGGGAAAGACAATGGTAAAACTGACAATGGCTGGACATGTGCTCAAGTGACTGCAGTTTGTGGGAACAGTTGACTGAAAATACTGTGCAGGAAGAAGCTACTGGAAAGCGCTGAAGTTGTGCAACTGATCTGCTGCTGAATTGTGGAGTTAATCTCAACAAAGCTAAACAGGGTCAATCCTAGTTATTTTTCAGTTGGGGGACCCTATATTTCAGGGGAATATGACAACTGTATTTGAGTATTTCCTAAGCAAAAAAATCCAGTAAAATCCATGGGGTTGCCATAAGTTGGAAAGCACCTTGAAGGCGCATAATACGAGCAGCACTTAGGCACTAGATCAGGCATGGGCCAAGTTGGGCCCTCCAGGTATTTTGGACGTCAACTCCCACAATTCCTAACAGCCTCAGACCCTTTCCTTTTTCCCCTCAACAGCTTAAGTGGAAAAGGAAGGGGTCTGAGGTTGTTAGGAATTGTGGGAGTTGAAGTACAAAACACCTGGAGGGCTCAAATTTGCCCATGCCTGCACTAGATCTTGTCTGATCTTGGAAGCTGGGAGGGAGGTGCCCTTATTGATTAGCACTTGGATGGAGACCACTAACAAATCCTAGGTGCTGTAGGCTGTATTTCAGAGGCAAGAACCAGCAAAACTACTTTGCACAAGAAAACCATGAAATTAATTGGGTCTCCATGACTTCATGGCACTTATTGGCACAGAAGCTGAGATTCATATACTTGTTCGAAGGCTGTGAAATACTAAGTATTTACCTGGTGGTGCTCAAATCTGGAAGCTTGTTGGTCGACGTCGGTGGTGCCGGTAACACATTCATAAGGATATTCCGTGCTCGTTCCTTTTCATTATTGCCTGCATTGGACCCTGATTGGGGAAATGCTGTCTTCGCAGCTACCTGGGAAGAATTTAACGGAGTGCCTTGACTTTTTGGTGGTTCTTTTTTGTCTGGAGATGGAGCTGATGCCTGGAAAAATTTCTCCCTGGCTTGCTGCGTTTTGGCTGCCGTTGGCGTCCAATGGGAAGGGACTGGGGAAGCGACCGAACTTTCACTGCGACCCGATTTATTCCCCGTATTCAAGTCCGACCAACGTGAATTAGGATTAGAAGCTTCCGAGCCAGACTTATGATTCCTCAAATCTGCGGGTTCTTTTCCTGGTGCTTTCGAAGCATCAAGCCTTTGAGGAGCCTGGCTTGGCTTCGGAGTTTCCGGCTCAGGCTTCTTGGATTCGAACCCTTTCAAACGGCTCCCTGAAGTAGGAAGGAGACCAGTGGTTTTATTCTCTCCAATGGCAGTCCTTTGGTTAACAGGCGAGGCATGGTGGAGATTCGGTTGTTCGTGTCCGTTGCAGATAAAAGTCCCCGGGTCCTTCCCAGCTTTGAAGTTTCCAGGTTTGAGGGTGCTGGAGCACTGTTTGCACCTGAGACAGAATTGCAGACAAAAGAAGGAATTGCTGTGAGTTTTCTGAGCTGTCTGGTCATGTTCCAGAAGCATTCTCTCCTGATGTTTCACCCACATTTATGGCAAGCATTCTCAGAGGTTGTGAGGTCTGTTGGAAGCTAGGCAAGTGAGGTTTATATATCTGTGCAATAATTTCCAGGGTGGGAGAAAGAACTCTTGTCTACTTGAGGCAAGTGTGAATGTTGCAATTGGATGCCTTGATTAGCATTGACTGGCCTTGCAGCAACGTCAGAAGAAAATGCTTCTAGAACATGACCATACAGCCCGGAAAACTCACAGCAACCCAGTGATTCTGGCCATGAAATGTATTTATTTATTACTAGCCATCCCTTGCCATGCGTTGCTGTGGCCCAGTCTGTGTATATGTGTTTTGTGTGTGTATATATGTGTGTATATGTGTTTATATATTTGTGTATATGTGTATATATGTGTGTGTGTTTGCGTGTATATGTGTGTGTGTGTGTGGTTTTATGCATGCATTGTAATGTATTTTTATTTTTTGGCTTTTTAAGTCTCTTCTCCTGTGTTTTTCAGTGTTCTTATGAGTGATGGTCACTTGTTTGCCTGATAGATGTATTGTGTCCAAATTTGGTGTCAATTCATCCAGTGGTTTTTAAGTTATGTTAATCCCACAATCGAACATTACATTTTTATTTATATAGATTTATTTACGATATTTCTAACCTGCCTTTCTCAAGCAGCAATTCGATGCCATAAAAATCCACAATATACAATTAAAAGATTTAAAACAACATTATAAAATCAATATAAAATCAATATAAACCATTAAAAGCATATAATAACAAATGTCTTCCTGTTAATCTCGCTTTCCAGTAGCATCATCTAAGCCGTGCCATGTTTCAAACTTACATAATTTCATGTTTGTCTATTGCACTGCATTTGCAAAGACTTGTTCAAAGAGCCAGGCTTTTACTTTTTTTGGAAGGTCAGGAGGGAGGGGGGCAATCTAATATCTTTAGGGAGGGAGTTCCCCAGCCAAGGGGTCACCACTGAGAAGGCCCTGTCTCTCGTCCCCACCAGACGCACCTGCGAAGAAGGCAGGATTGAGAGCAGGGCCTCCCCAGACAATCTTAAATTCCTAGATGGTTCATAGAGAGAGAGATATTCGGACAGGTAAGCTGGGCCGGAACCGTTTAGGGCTTTATAGGCTAAAGCCAGCACTTTGAATTGTGCCCAGTAGTAAAATGGCAGCCAGTGGAGTTAGTGCAACAGAGGAGTTGTGTGTTCCCTGAGCGCTGCTCCAGTTAGCAACCTGGCTATCACCCACTGGACCATTTGAAGCTTCCGAACAGTCATCAAGGGCAAACCCACGTACAGCATGTTGCAGTAGTCTATACGGAATGTAACCAGAGCACGGACTACCGTGGCCAAGTCAGATTTCTCAAGGTATGGGCGCAGCTGGCACACAAGTTTTGAAAGCCTTCGACAACACAAAAGATGGAATATTTGACCCAGATCCCAGACCACAATGTCTTGAAGTTGATGTTTTGCTAGCCTTCAGGTTGTTTCTCACTTCTAGCTGCTTAAGACTGGAAGTGGCGAGATATATTCAGACAGGCTCTGCCATTTCCTCCTCTGAGGCTGAGAAAGTGTGCACATTCTGGGATATCGCATAACTATTCAGTGACACACCAGATTCCCTGCAATTGTGGGAGGCTACCTGGACACACTTAAGGTTGTCAAGTTGGATCTGGAATTGGACTTCTGTAATTTTGAATCATACCTGAAGCAGCTCCGATGATAAAGCTTCCCATCCATCAGGAGTCTCTGCACCAAGTGAACATGGCCTCCGCAGATTGTGCAGTTGCTGCTTCGCAGATTGGTGTTTTCGGCTAAGATCCGTTGTCTCTGAGGGGGAAAGAGAAACAGTGTAAGAGGACTGTAAGAACCACTTGGTTGCATCTACTGGAAGGTCCACCTCCAAGAAGGTTGGACAAACTGGTCTCCTCCAACTGGCCACCAACTCCTCTCCCTGGCATCACTATCCGAGGTTCCTCCATTTTCCTTCATGGCCACCAACTCCTCTCCTTAGGGCAAATTTTGGGAGGTCTAAGAGTGATTGTCCAATTCCTCTCCAATTTGGAACCAGCAGAGTTTACTGTTTCTGCATCCGTAGCCAATTTATTTCAGGATGTTGTCTAACTATAAAGAAGTTCTCCATGGAACTAAATCGGTTTGGGAGACAGGACTCAAGGTGTTTCTCAAACTGGGGGTTGTGAGGAGATATTAGAGGGGTCACCAAAGATAATCAGAAAACAGATATTTCTGATGGTTTTAGGAACCTCTTTGGCAGAGAAGGCTGAAGATCTCTCCGCCTGTCCTTCTCTTCCTTTTTGGAAACAGATGGCAAATCCTCCCACCAAAAGCTCTCCTCCTACTCTCTGGATGTAGGTGAACTACAACTCCAAAACTCAAGGCCAGTGCCCACCAAACACTTCCAGTATTTTCTTTTGTCATGGGAGTTCTGTGTGCCAAGTTTGGTTCAATTCCATCGTTGATGGAGTTCAGAATGCTCTTTGATTGTAGGTGAACTATAAATCCCAGCAACTACAACTCCTAAATGTCAAGGTCTATTTCCCACAAACTCCACCAGTGGTCACATTTTGGGCATATTAAGTATTCGTGACAAGTTTGGTCCAGATCCATCATTGTTTGAATCCACAGTGATCTCTGGATGCAGGTACTACAACTCCAAAACTCAAGGACAAGGCTGACCAAACCCTTCCAGTATTTTCTGTTGGGTCATGGGATTTCTGTGTGCCAAGTTTGGTTCAATTCCATCGTTGGTGGGGTTCAGAATGCTCTTTGATTGTAGGTGAACTATAAATCCCAGCAACTACGACTCCCAAATGACAAAATCAAAGTCTATTTTCCACAAACTCCACCAGTTTGTGGGCATATTAAGTATTTGTGTCAAGTTTGGTCCAGATCCATCATTGTTTGAGTCCACGGTGCTATCGGGATGTAAGTGAGCTATAACTCCCAAACTCAAGGTCAATGCTGACCAAACCATTCCAGTATTTTTTGTTGGTCATTTTTGTTGTGTACAAATTTTGGTTCAATTCCATCATTGGTGGAGTTCAGAATGCTCTTTTATTGTAGGTGAACTATAAATCCCAGCAACTACAACTCCCAAATGACAAAATCAATCCCCCTCAACCCCACCAATATTCAAATTTGAATGTATCGGGTATTTGTGCCAAATTTGTTCCATTGAATGAAAATACATCCTGCATCTCAGATATTTACATTACGATTCCTAACAGTAGCAAAATTACAGTTATGAGGTAGCAACAAAAATAATGTTATGGGGGTCACCACAACATGAGGAAATGTATTAAGGGGTCTCAGCATAAGGAAGGTTGAGAATCACTGCCTTAGAGAGATCCTTTAAAATTCAGAATGGTTCTTTTTCATTCAATGGGTGTGAAATATTGAGAGACTATAAACATGAGACAGAGAATATAATGCTTTTAGTATAGATCAGCCATGGGCAAACTTCATCTCTCCAGGTGTTTTGGACTTCAACTCCCACAATCCCTAACAGCTTCAAGCCTTTTCCTTTCCCTCCTCATCTGCTTAAGCATTTGGAGGTCCAAAGACTATGCTTGGGAAGAATTAAACCTCAAGGAATATCAGCAGCCATTCTGATTCACTCAAGGACAGATTGCAGATATCACGTCTAATAGACATCAATAGATCCCCATTTCCACATTTAATGTCCTTCTGGAGAGCCCAAGCCCCAAATAAACAGAAAATATCAATCCATACTGCTTCCACGGGAGCGTTTTCCTTCCCCTTCAAGGCTGGGTTGATCTTGGGCTCAGGCGGCATGTAAACTGGGGATGGCTTGGCAGGTGCAGGCTTCTCTGGCTCAGAAATAATCTTTTTCCCTGCGGGTTCCTCACTGGCGTTGGAAGGAGAGCGCTTGACCCCCGCCATCCCTCCAACTGCGGAGGAAGAAATGCATACAAGTTAGCAAGGTGCGACCTTAGAAATGGATCAACACATGTTCTACTCAGTGCAATTTACTAGTAGCTTGAACCCGGGTTCCTTCCAGCAGGAATCTCCTCCTTCTTGGATTATGTTCAGGTCAGTCAAGTGGAAAGGGAGCCCTTTTCACAATTTCTAGCCTTTAGGTCACACTTCAATTGCCTATCAGATCCTGGGATTTGTAATTCATAGAATCCTAGAGTTGGAAGAGACTTCATGGGCCATCCAGTCCAACCCCATTCTGCCAAGAAGCAGGAAAATCACATTCAAAGCACTCCCAGCAGATGGCCTATAACAGAACTATAACAGATTGGAAACACACAGAAACACCATATGTTTATATGTATATATTTCTCTCTGTATGTGTGTGTGTATGTATGTGTGTATGTATATATGTATGAAACGTTTGGTGGGACTACAGTTCCTAGTTTAATCCAATAACAAAACCAGAAGAGCATGGAAACATATTCTCTCTGTAAGTGTTTATGTATATATGCATATCTGTCTGTCTGTCTATCTATACACATTGTGCTGGTACAGCTGTACCAGAAACTCCCACTTTATTTGCCTTGTATTAAGTGTTTCTTTGCAGCCCAAGGCTTGGGACTCTGCAGAAGGGTGGCTTCCTGTTAAAGTTTGCAGTTATAGGGCAGGCCCCCTGTCCATCATCGTTAAGTTTGGTTCCGCCTCCTGTTCAGGACAATTGAGAAGGGAAGGGAGCCATTTTCAGTCAGTCTCAGCAAAGGAAGTCAATGAACAGGACATGTACAGACTTTCTCCTGTACAAAGGCTTCAACCCTTAAGACTTCCCGGGGGAGAAGCATCTAAAGATTCCCAAAGATTCCCAGGGAAACAGCCTTACAGCCCTGAGGAATTTCGGAGGGAAAAACAGCTTTAAACATCAAGAACTCCAGCTAAGTGACTACAGGCCTACTGGTAGGTCCACTTGGTTTCGAGACACAGTTCAGCCCGGTAGTGGATCCACATCACTTAGGTTTAGGTTCACAGTTAGCCTGGGAGAAGTTTGGAAAGGGATTTTCCTTTAAAGTAAAGCAAAGAAACAGTTAGAAGCCACCAGTTGCTTGAAGCCTGGAAGCAATTGTTTAACCTTTGAAGACAAAAGAAGTTCCTGTTTGATTGTTCTTCAATAAAGACTTTGTTGTATTTAAGCTCAAGCCCTCTAAAGACTGTTTATGGGGGGAAATCTCTAAAAGCTTCTCTTCGGGGTCCCTGGCTTCCCGTTGGGCTCAAGTTGCATGTCCTGTTTTAACAGCAATTCATTTTAAGCCCAGCGGCGACAGAACACACATACATATCCATATATATACTTCGAGAGCAGTACATGTGAAAAAGATCTTGGAGTCCTTGTGGACAACAAGTTAAACATGAGCCAACAATGTGATGCTGCCGCTTAAAAAGCCAATGGGATTTTGGCCTGCATCAACAGTGTCTAGATCCAGGGAAGTCATACTACCCTCTCTTCTGCCTTGGTTAGACCACACCTGGAATATTGTATCCAAGTCTGGGTACCACAATTGAAAAGAGATGTTGACAAGTTGGAATGTGTCCAGAGGAGGGTGACTAAATGATCAAGAGTCTGAAGAACAAGCCCTATGAGGAGAGGCTTAAAGACCTGGGCATGTTTAGCCTGCAGAAGAGAAGGCGGAGAGGAGACACGATGGCCATGTATAAATATATGAGGGAAAGTCATAGGGAGGAGGAAGCAAGTTTGTTTTCTGCTGCCTTGGAGCCTTGGATGCGATGGAACAATGGCTTCAAATTAGAGGAAAGGAGATTCCACCTGAACATTGGGAAGAACTTTCTGGCTGTGAGAGCTGTCCAGGAATCCTCAAACTGAGGCCTTCCAACTGTTTGGGACTTCAGTTCCCAAAATTCCTGACTATTGTACAAGCTCGTTAGGGATTCTGGGAGTTGGAGGCCCAAACTGCTGGAGAGCTGCATAGAATCATAGAGTTGGAAGAGACCTCATGGGCCATCCAGTACAACCCCGTTCTGCCTAGAAGCAGGAAAATCACATTCAAAGCACTCCCGACAGATGGTCAGGACAATCATGTTCAAAGCACCCTCAACAGATGGCCATCCAGCCTCTAAAAGCCTCCATAGAAGGAGTCTCCACCACACTCCGTGGTAGAGAGTTCCACTGCTGAACAGCTCTCACTGACAAAATCACGATCCGTCAGCTGCAAAAGGCCACCTTACTTGGATCTGCGCGCATCATTCGAAAATACATCACACAGTCCTAGACGCTTGGGAAGTGTTTGACTTGTGATTTTGTGATACAAAATCCAGCATATAGATCTCGTTTGTTGTGACAAACTGTGCTTTTGTGTCAGTAAAATAATAATAATAATAATAATAATAATAATAATAATAATACAATTTAAATATATTTTTATATTTATATTATGTAGGTTTTTTTAAAAAATGTATATCTTTTAAAGTTGTGAACTGCTTAGGGTCTCAGTTCCTGAGAGAATAGCAGGATACAATAATAATAATAACAATAATAATACTTCTGCCATGAATGAACTTTGCCAAGTTCTCCTTCTGTATGAATGTAACCATTGACAGAAGTTCACCAGAAGATGAAATGGTGAACATCCTGCAAAGTTTGGATTGTTTGTTGAGCTTTTGTAGGAGTGTTGGTATGCAACCTTCTATGTTGCTGCCCTCTTTTCTGAAATGCTCCCTCCAAAGCGCAGAAAAGATCCAGTCTTGCAAAACTCTCTTTTTTGCTCCTTGCCCTTTGCATTCTTTGCCTCGTCTCTTGAAAGCTCTCTCCAGAGGCATCCAAACAAAGGCATTTCCCTAGAAAAAGTTGGAATCTTTGGGTCTTTTTTTCTCCCATCCCCAAGGAAACCATTTCATTTAGAGAGAGAGAAAGAGAGAGAGAGAGAAAGCTGCTGTAGCTAAAGACAAGAGCAAAACCCTCCTTGCAATGGGAATTGTGGCATGTGCTGGTCTTTATCCAGAACCACAGCCAGCAAAGAATGTACTTTTGTCAAGGGTGACCTCTCGGCTCTGGGATTTCTGACTGCAATATGTCACTATAAATGTCACTTTTCATCCATTCTGGATGTGGAAATGGTTATAAAATCTCCTACGAATGTTCCAGCTGCCACTTGGTTTGGGTTTTGGCCTCAAGATTTGTGAAACAGAATCCCCCTCCTTCCAAGAACTCAATGAGATGTGGCATACAGTGGTCCAAACTGGGTTTTTAAAGAAAGGGAACTGTGTAGGATAGTGGTTAGATTGCCAAGACTCGGTAAGAGGAAGCCTTAATTCCAATCCCATTTGGACAACTTTTAAAATATATAATTTAAAAATCAACAATATGCAAATATTAAAACAGAATCAAAAATGCCACCATTATTATTATTATTATTATTATTAGTAGTAGTAGTAGTAGTAGTAGTAGTAGTAGTAATAGTAGTAATTTCATATACTCACTAGGGGACCTTCCATGGAAATAGTTATAATATTGGGAGACGTAAGTGAGGATGCTCAGACGATCCGGCACTTTCAGAGCCACCATGTCTTCGGCATCCAGCAAAGCCGGGATTCCCAGCTCTGTCTCCGCTACTTTAAAAGCCTGTAGGATTCAAAGGAGAGGATATGACATCAGGTATTTTTGAGCTAAAAGGAGCCAGTGATGTGGCTGGCATGGTATCTTGGTTTTTGCAAACTGTGTTTTGTTGCAATGGTTCTACTCTGCATGTTACGATAAGCCTGGGATCTTGGCTTAATAAAGACCAAAGGCAAAACAAGGAGTGTATGGGTTCCTTCCTCTTTTTGTAGTTAAAGTTACATCAAAACCAGGGTTTTATGGTCAAACTAGCTAAAGTTCACAAGCAAAGACCACATCCTGGTAAAGCCAGTGTGTGGTCCCATCTACACTGCCATATTCTGCAGTTTGAAACTCCCATTATATGGTCAGTATAGACCAGGTATGGGCAAACCCTGGCCTGTGGGCCAGATGCGGCCCCTTGGGCTCTTTCCTCAGGCCCTCCTCTCTCACACCATCCTATCCTTCCTTCCTTCTCTCTTTCCTTCCTCCTTCCCTCCCTCTTTCTCCTTCCTTTCCACCCTTTTGTCCTTCCTTTCTTCCTCTCTTTCCTTCTTTCCTCTCTCCTTTAATTTCCTTTCTCCCTCCCTCCTTCATTCCCTTCCACCCTTTCGTCCTTCCTTCCTTCCTTCCCTCTCTCCCTCTTTCTCCTTCCTTCTCTTTTGTCTTTCCTTCCTTCCACCCCTTTCCTCCCTCTCTCCTCTTTCTCCTTCCCTTTTGTCTTTCTTTCCTTCTCTCTTTCTTCCCTCTTTCCCTCCTTCCTTTCCTTTCATCCTTGCTTCCCTTCCTTTCATCCTTCCTCCCCTTTTGTCTTTCCTTCCTTCCCTTTTCTTCCATCCTTCCCTCTTTCCATCCTTTCCTTCCTCCCTTTCATCCTTCCTCCCTTTTTCCTTCCTCCTTCCCTTCCTTCCATCCTTCCTTTCCTTCCTTTCATCCTTCCTCCCCTTTTGTCTTTCCTTCCCTTTTCCTCCATCCTTCCCTCTTTCCATCCTTCCCTTCCTCCCTTTCATCCTTCCTTCCTACCTTTTTGTCTTTCCTTCCTTCCCTCTTTCCTCCCTCCTTCCCTCTTTTCATCATCCCTTCCTCCCTTTCATACTTTCTTCCTTCTCTCTTTCCTTCCTCCGTCCCTTCCTTCCATCTTCCCCTTCCACCCTTTCATCCTTCCTTCCTTTACTTTTGTTTTTCCTTCCTTCCCTCTTTCCTCCCTCCTTCCCTCTTTTAATCATCCCTTCCTCCCTTTCATACTTTCTTCCTTCTCTCTTTCCTTCCTCCGTCCCTTCCTTCCATCTTTCCCCTCCACCCTTTCATCCTTCCTTCCTTTACTTTTGTCTTTCCTTCCCTTTTTCCTCCCTCTTTCCATCCTTCCCTTCCTCTCTTTTGTGATTCCTTCCTTCTCCCTTTCTTTCTTCTTACCCTTCCTTCCTTCCATCCATCCATCACTGGGCAGCCAATCCTCCTAGCAGGGAGCGCTAGCATGCGGGCCCCCAAATTAGAAAGCTTTCCCCTGCCTGGTGCAGACTCACATAATGCAATTACATTCTTCAGCAAAGACAACCTGCAACCCATCTTTTTTTACAATGGAAAGCTGGGACATTCCTCTCTGTGTGTATCCCCATGACTGGGTTTCTGGAGTCAGGACAGAGCTGATGGGTGGTCCGAATGCCTTTCCCTTTCGGAAACATCTGCAGCCCATTCTCTCCCCCTCCTCCGCAAAACAGAGCCCTTCTTCCCAGAGAATGAAAAGCCTGCAAAATCCGGTCAACAGGAAGAAAGTAAACAGTGCAACTTTTCACACAGTTGAATAAAATCCCACATGTTCTGCTTTGAACTGGAATATATGGCAGTGTGGACTCAGATAACCCAGTTCAAAGCAGATATTGTGGCATTTCTTGCCTTGATATTCTGGATTATATGGCAGTGTGGAAGGGCGCCCAGTTTCCAAAACAAAAAGAAAGCAAGTTATTTATTTATTTATTTATTTATTTATTTATTTATTTATTGTATCAGGATCAAACCAAGGGTACAACTGTGATGTATTTGAGAAAACACAAAGTTTAAAACTGTGACATTCTATTAAATGTCCTTTGACCAGTAGCTGGTCACTTGGAGTGCCTCTGGTGTTACTGGGAGAAGGTCCTCCATTGTGCATGTGGCAGGGCTCAGGCTGCATTGTTTTCAGTGGTCTGTGGTTTGCTCTTCTCCACACTCACATGTCGTGGACTCCACTTTGTGGCCCCATTTCTTAAGGTTGGCTCTGCATCTCGTGGTGCCAGAGCGCAGTCTGTTCAGTGCCTTCCGAGTTGCCCAGTCTTCTGTGTGCCCAGGAGGGAGTCTCTCATTTGGTATCAGCCATGAATTGAAGTGTTGGGTTTTAGCCTGCCACTTTTGGACTCTCGCTTGCTGAGGTGTTCCTGCGAGTATCTCTGTAGATCTTAGGAAGCTTTTTCTTGATTTGAGGCCTTTGTTTGCTGGCTGATATCCGAACAGGGGATGGGCCGGAAATGTCACTGCCTTGGTCCTTTCATTGCTGGCTGCTACTTCCCGGCGGATGTCAGGTGGTACAATACTGGCTAACCAGTATAATTTCTCCCATGGTGTTGGGCGTAGACACCTTGTGATAATGTGGCATGTCTCATTAATAGCCACATCTACTGTTTTAACATGGTGAGATGTGTTCCACATTGTGTACTCAGCAGCAGAGTAGCAAAGCGCAAAGGCAGATGTCTTCACTATGTCTAGTTGTGATTACTACACATCTGGGAGTCCCCTGGGCAACATCTGATTCTCTCACTCCAGAAGTGACCAGAAGCAACTTGCAGCATGCAAGTTGAGTTGGGAAATCCAGGAATGCAATGAGGTCTATATATTATAATAGTCCCAAATCCCACTGCAAATACTGGTAGTTCAAACCAAGGATCTCCTCTGCATAGATTACATTCTTCCCTGCCTACCTCACAGGGTTGTTATATGGATGAACAGGGCAAATGATAACATCCTGGGAGTTGTAGTTTTAAATAGTTTTGAGCCTTTCTGCCAAACATAGCTGGAGCTTCGTTAAGCTAGAAGGATTGCATATCATTATGCCAAGGCAGTTAATTTGGTGTCAATCTGCATTAATTCCACAATGTAGCTTCCGTCTGGCTCGACAATCTTGTCAAGCAGGTTTATCCAGAGAGCAAAAGGGTATTTTTATTTTGCATAGAACACAAAGCACACCCTTTCATAATCACATCTCAAGAAGGGAACCAATCTTGACCCAACACTTCATTTTAATCAATAGCCACTTAGGCAAGATGGAATATTTGATTTGGTTGGAGGTCTGGTGTTTACAAAATGATACAAAATAGTCATTCCATCTGTGAAATGGGTACGGCCAATGGAGAAGGCAAGAAAAGCCCTGCCAGTATGGCCTATCATACATAATTATTGTTTAAAAGGATTAAATCAGTTGTCTTTACAGCCGCTCGCTGTTTGTATTTACGGTCTGTTAGTTCTGATCTAATCTATCCAGGGCCAAAGTGTGTTTGGAGAAAGGCTGAGGCTGGTGACATCAGAGCAGGAAGTAGAAGAAAAGGAAAAATTACTTACCAGTTCGTTGTTTTCGTAGACATTTTCTTTGTGGAGAGAGCTGAAGTTTCTGAAATGGAAGAGAAGAGGAAGAAAAATAGGTTTTGCTAAACAATTAAGCAGTGTTGCACATTATCATGAGAGTTCTGTGAGGGGAGTTTAGCCCATTTCTATAATTGGTGGAGTTCTGAATGCTCTTTGATTGTAGGTGAACTATAAATCCCAGCAACTACAACTCCAAAATATCAAGGTCTATTTTCCCTAAACTCCACCAGTGTTCACATTTGGGCATATTGAGTATCCATGCCAAGTTTGGTCCAGATCTGTCATTGTTTGAGTCCACAGTGCTCTCTGGATGTAGGTGAACTACAACTCCCAAACTCAAGGTCAACACCCACCAAATTCTTCCAGTGTCTTCTGTTGGTCATGGGAGTTCTATGTGCCAAGTTTGGTTCAATTCCATCATTGGTGTAGTTCAGAATGCTCCCTGATTGTAGGTGAATTATAAATCCCAGCAACTACAACTCCCAAATGTCAAGGTCTATTTTCCCTAAACTCCACCAATGTTCACATTTGGACATATTGAGTATCCATGACAATTTTGATCCAGATCCACCATTGTTTGAATCCACAGTGCTCTCTGGATGTAGGTGAACTACAACTCCAAAACTCAAGATTAGTGCCCACCAAACCCTTCCTGTATTTTCTATTGGTCATGGGAGTTCTGCGTGCCAAGCTTGGTTCAATTCCATTGTTGGTGTAGTTCAGAATGCTCTTTGATTGTAGGTGAACTATAAATCCCAGCAACTACAACTCCCAAATGATCAAATCAATCCTCCCAACCCCACCAGTATTCAAATTTGGGTGTATTGGGTATTTGTGCCAAATTTGGTCCAGTGAATGAAAATACATCCTGCATATCAGATATTGACATTACGATTTGTAACAGTAGCAAAATTACAGTTAAGAAGTAGCAACGAAAATAACTTTATGGTTCGGAATCACCACAACAGGAGGAACTGTATTAAGGGGTCGCGGCATTAGGAAGGTTGACCTAGAGGTTCCCTGAGTGCATCTACACTGCACTCAGAGTGCATCTACACCACTTCAACTGCTATGTCTCAATGCCCTGGAATCCTGGGAGTTATAGTTTGACAAGGTTTTGAACCAAATTCATGGGAGCTGTAGCAATCAAACTACAGCTCTCATGACTCCAAAGCATTGAGCCAAAACGTGCAAGGGAATCCTAAGAGTTTGGCACTCTTTGTCAGAGAAGGCCAATGGTCTTGTAAAACTACAACTCCCAGGATTTCATAGTATTGAGCCTATAGCAATGAAAGTGGTGTCAAGCCACATTAAGCCACCTCTGCATGTCCTTCTTCATTGATAACTTTTGTCATTTGGACCACACTGTTGGCCACATGTGTCCTGGTTATAACCTGTGAAATATGAGGGAGCTGGAGCCCTTGGGAAAGTCACACTCTCTCAGCCTCAGGCAAACCTCTTCAGAAGAAATCTTGCCCCCAAAAACCTGTGATAGGTTCTCCTTAGGATTGCCATAAGCTGGAAACAACATGTACCAAGCTCTGTAATAGATTGCGAGTTGAGAAATGTCAACTCTATACCAGAACAAACTGGACCAGATGAGCTCAGGGGCATTTTTCCATTGAGGTTTGAGGGAAGTGTTTGTGACTCAGCAAGGCATGAGCAAGATGCTGCAAGTTCCCCAGGACATGTTTTCTCCCAAGATGTTGAGCAAGAAGGAGACACACTTCTACAGCCACAGAGGAGCCAAAACGAACCCGACCTTTGCTCTGGACTCGAAAGGAACATTATCAGCACCTTCAGCTTAAAGGGAATCATCTTGAAAGTAATTTGGAAGCTGTGTTCTCCCTTTCTCTTTCATTCCTTTGTTTTCCAAGTTGGCACCTTTATGACTGGCTGGCCTTCAACACCGACAACTTCAGACACGTGATACTCTTTCCCTTGCACACACAACATGGAATTTTTCCATTTCTGGCTTTCCAAAGATCCCTTCCCTTGGGTCACACCATCACTTCTAGATACACTACTTCAGCCTCTAGGTTTCAATCCAGAAATAGCCAGAACTATTGCTGTCTGTGCTTTCAAGCCAATTCTGATTTATGGCAATTCTAAGGTCACAGGGTTTCCTTGGCAGAATTTGCATTCTGCTGAGGCTTGACATGCAATTTATTTATTTTATTTCCAACATTTCTACCCTGCCCTTCTCAACCTCCAAGGGGGGACTCGGAGCGGCTTACACTGGCAACGATTCGATGCCACAATGTACAAACAGATATAACAAATATAACAGCAATTTAACAATAAAAACAGTAAGTTAAAAACAATTTAAAACATTATTATCAAACCAAATAGCCACTTCCTGTCCAGTTCAACATCCAAAGTGCTGTCGTGCCTGCTGTCCAAAAGCCTGGTCCCAAAACCACGATTTCAGTTTCTTCCTAAAAGAAAGGAAGGATGGAGCCAACCTAATCTCGCTAGGGAGCAAGTTCTACAAATGAGGGGTCACCACCGAGAAGGTCCTGTCCCTCGTCGCCTTTGGCCGAGTGCTGACAGGGAACTTTGCTAGGGCTGTTGCATTTCAAGTCTCATCAAGTCAAAGGGCTCAAACTTCCTGACTAATCCTTGCAGCCAGAGCCTGGGACAAGTCAGTGTCAAGGAAAAAGGACTCCTTGGAATGCTAACTTTCTATAAGCAGGGATTTTCTTCTTTCTTGAAGGGAGGTCTGTACATCATATCAGTGAACCAGTATAGTCTAAACAAGAGTTGCTCTTTTACATTGGAAACAGTTTTTCCCCGATCTCTGCTATTCAGAGGCATACTAATACTGAACATGAAAGTTCAGTATGCCACCATAATGTTGAGAGGACAAAGCTTGTTTTATGATACTTTGGAGACTAGGACACAATGGAGCAACAGAAAAGAGATTGCTCCCAAACATCAGGAAAACATCACAAAGATAAGACACCTGTATGTTCTCCTGCGGTGAGGGCATCAGTTTCCAGGTGGAAAGTGGTTCCGGTCAGGGTTGGCTTGATGTGCCTTCCTCGTGGCATGTTTCTCTCTTTTGCCCTCTTTCACTCTTCAAATTCTTCAAATTCTACAGCACTGCTGGTCACAGCTGACCTCCAGCTAGAGCGCTCAAGGGCCAGAGCTTCGCACTGTCTATGCCACAGTGTTTAAGGTTGGCTTTGAGCCCATCTTTAAATCTCTTTTCCTGTCCACCAACATTATGTTTTAAATTCTTGAGTTTGGAGTAGAGAAACTGGTTTGGGAGATGGTGGTTGGGAATTCAGACAATGTGGCCGGTCCAGTGGAGCTGATGGTGGAGGACTATCGCTTCAATGCTGGTGGTCTTTGCTTCCTCCAGCACACTGACATTTGTCCGCTTGTCTTCCCAGGAGATCTGCAGGATTTTTCGGAGGCAACGCTGATGGAATCGTTCCAGGAGTTGCATGTGATGTCTGTACATAGTCCCTGCCAAACATGAAGCTGGCAGGACCGAGAGCAGGGCCTCCCCAAATGATCTTAAACTACGAGGTGGAACGTAGAGGGAGATACGTTCGGACAAATAAACCGGGCCGGAACCATATAAGGCTTTATAGGCCAAGACAAGCACTTTAAATTGTGCTTGGAAATGGACTGGCAGCTAATGGAGTTGAAACAACAGGGAAGTGGTATGCTTCCTGTATGTTGCTCTGTGAGTAATATGGCTGTCGTCCGTTGGACTAGTTGAAGTTTCTGAACAGTCTTCAAAGGCTGCATAGAAGTGCCTTATATTTACCATCTATCTTACCAGGGGCGTTCATTAAAGATTTCCCCTGGCTCACTTTGATTTATCAAAGAACACTGAAACTGTACATATGTAATGATATACATCTCTATAGGTTATATGCTAATTTACAACTCAGAACTGAGAACAGTCTTGATTTGATGGGTGCTGAAATGGAGTGAGGTTTGAGAATGGGCCCAGTGGAATACAGAGCAGTCCTCAATTTCTCTTCCTTGAAAGACGGCACACTAAAGGAGACGTTCAATGAGATGAAAGAGGTTGATGATGAGGATTCCCCATCATATGATGGAGTCAAGAACTGGCATCGTCCATTCCAATGTGGTCAGACTTTGGTGCAAACAGCTCCAATTCCACGGTGGCCCCACTCTGCTATTGGGGAACACACCATCCAGCAAGTGGAGGTCGCCATTTTGGAAAATCATCGCATAACCATTTGCCACCTAGTTCAAAATGTCAAGATGAGTGTGAGGTCCATGGAAAAAATCACCCAAGACCATTTTCACATGCATAAGGTATTCCCTCGGCTGCTCACACCTTTCCAGAAGCAGGAACACGTTGAATGCTCTCAGGTTCTCTTGACAATGATGTGCCATGGAAACCAGGAGGACTTTTTCAACAGACTGATCACACAGCATGAAAGCTGGGTTCATCACTCTGATCCTGAGACTAAAGTCCAGTCAATGCTATAGAAGCATCATGACTCACCACCTCCAAAGAAGACGTATGCCCAACTCTCAGAAGGCAAGGTCATGCTCACAGTATTTTGGGTCCAGCATGGAGTAGTACTGATGGATTTCCTAGCAAAGGGGACCATGATCATTGGGACATACTATGCTTCACTGCTGCAGAAATTGCGGGAGGCCATCAAAATCAAGAGACAATGTGGCATGCTCACCGAAAGTGCCCACCATCTGCAAGACAGTGCACCAGTTCACAACTTACATGTTGCCCAAATGGAAGAATGCTCCCGTGGCTTTGAAGTTCTGCCACATCCCCTTGTTCCCCCGACCTCACACCATCAGACTTCCACCTCTTTCCAACAAGGAAGTTATTTTTGAAGGAAAAACATTTTCAGATGATGAAACTCTGAATTCTGAAGTCACAACGTGGCTTTTGGAGCAACCTGTCAACTTCTACAAGCAAGATGTTTACAGTTGCTACCGATGGAGAGAAGGACCCAGAATTGGGCCAAGTTTCAATGCTCTCAGTCCGCAGGAAGTGGGTCAGGGGAAATA